AAAGCGCTTTCACACTACTTGTCATCATTCACACACTGATGGCAGGGGCTAAGTGACACTTTGAGCGCTTTGAGTGGTCAGAGAGACTAGAAAAGCGCTATAAGTACACTCCATTTACCATTATTCTATGTTTGTGGTCTAATGTGGTGTCACTTTAATATCACAGTCAACAAGTGCAGAAACATTTTAACGTGATGTGTCCACTTCCTCTACACAGGTTGGGGCTCACCCAGCTGTAGAGAGACCCAGACCTCGGGACATTCCTGATGAAGATGGAGTCAATTATCTTTTGGAGGGCTGTTTTCATCTTCTACACGCTTCCCTCTGTCCAGGTACTAAATATGGATGGATGGAAGGATGGATGGATGCACTGGATTTGCCTCTATGTACTGACTGTATGACATATTAACACCTTCCTGTACTTCAAACAGAAACTCTTATTATATTTGTGTATATTCATTGTAGATTTTTGCTTTTACTACCTGGCTCACATGGCGTATCATCACAGTCTTTGGTGAATCAAATGAACACGGACCCGATTAGAGAAACTTTGTCAGGGTTTACACACTGCACACCCAGCCTCTGGCTTCTCTCTGCGGCTGCTGTCAGCTCCGTTGCCTAATTTGATATCACCAGTCCAAATCAAATTGTTTACACAGGTCAAAAGGCTGCATGGCAGTGTGGGGAGCCTGCTGGAGTCTGTGCATGTGCATTAGCTGGGGTGAATGTCACCTCTTTATATGAAGAACACTGAGCACAGGATTTTCTCTGGCAAATATAGCAGCTCCTTAATCCCCGACAACAGGCCGCTGTGGACCTGGTGTTCTCCACGATCGACCCAGCAAAAACATCTTTATTTGGACGGGGTCTGTTTATAAAGGCACTGAACCCTTTGGAGCAGTAGGAATATGTCCTCCATCTATTTTCAGGGCTGGGACTTGCTATTGTGGTGAGCTGTGAATTTAAGTTTGAAGGTTTGCACAGGGCGTTCCCTGCTCATAAACTCTAGACACAGCCACCTGGAATTTGTGCTTTTTAAAAAAGTTGATTCACCACTTGAAAGAAATAATGGTGTAAAAGTAATTTGGAGTGTTACAACACAAAATATTGGCCCATAGTAATCAAACCCTTATTTAAAGTACTCTGTGCCATTAGCAGCAGTTACAGTAATACACAAATACACATATACAAGACCAGTTATGAGTAAACATACATGAATAAAAGGTGAACCAATCAAATAATTAACTTGAAAAGCACACAGAGAGCGCTGCCCTCCGCGAAGGTTCTCCCTTGGCCCATGCTACACCCTTCCACCAAGTTTGATGAAAATACATTTTTTTACCGTAATCTAATATTAACACAAAACATGCAAATTTGCAGGATTCTGTGAGCATAATTTTACATTGCATAACTAACCACTTTATTATTGTTGTATTGTGTTATTCTATTTTTGAACTACTGTACAATTGTCATCACTGTCATATCTACAATGTTTTGTTAAAGCCACTATGTGTACAATTTTGAAATGTATGACTTTGGCACAATCTGTGTCACAAAGTCAGCTTGAGCCCTGAATGTTTTTAGTGTAGCCCTGAATATAATTTTAATGCGAAGCTCAACAGTAAATTGAATGTGTGTGAATGTTTGATTGTTCTCATAACATAAGAGCCTGTAAAATATTTAAAAAAATAACAAAAGAGCGCACAGGTCCGGGCAAAAAAACAAAAACTAACTCAAAAGAGAAGGAAGGATAATTAGTTAGCCCATGTAAAGTTTATTTTGATTTATTTTCCGTTATTATTTTTTTGCATGAACTGTATACGTGAACATTTTGGGTGTGTGCGTGAGTGAAAGAAAACCCTTTTAACATTCCAATTAAGGATGTCACAATATAGAAGTTTGACATTAAGCTTATTATCAGAGGAAATATCATGTTTTTCAAGGTTATTAACCAGAATATTTGTAGTAAGCCTATAGTTAATAGCTACAATATTTATTGTCATCCTCCTTTGCTTTTTTCTACTTTATATAATTCATCTATAGATAAAAACACATTTCAAGTGATAAGTAAAATTGTATTTTTATTGATAAAAAAATCATGGCATTGGCAGTTTGAATGAGTTATTATAAACTGCTTGGGTGTTAGGAAGAAATAAGTCATAATTCTCTTTCAAATATCTATTTTATATTGCTGTGAAAATATATCCTTCAAACTGTATTTATGACAAACTACATTTTACAAGATTTAAACACATTTGAACACATCATGATAACATTATAATTTCCTTTTGTCCAAAACTAATTTTAACTGAATGGAGCTTGAACGCACCATAATGTAACTAAATGGAACCTCCATATTAAAGCCAGATGGCTCTGCTCCGTGCGTTATAACAGCTGTTGCTGTCAACGTTACTCGACATTTCTTGTTCACAATGTATCATTTTTAGACTAGCAACAAGAAAGCATCAATGTCGATCTCCAGATCGCATATTTTTACTTAGTATAGACCGATAACGATCAGCAGTTTTTGTTGCACTATAATGGTTAAACTATGTAATTAATCTGCAGTTCACGTGAATCCCTGGCCATGTACTGTATCCGAAAGGCTCCCAGACTGCCGATTTTGCTGCATGTCGGTTCCTTCTGACAAGTTTACAGCTCTTCTTCTCAATGCTACAGCGGAGTGGGACCACTCTCACACACAAAACAAACTGGCGCACACACACTTATTTTGTGACTTGTGTCTGAGAGGATTTCACCAAACACACAAACATGTCTCACTTGTTTTCACTGGGAATTAATGCAGGAAACAGGAAACCATTGATATCGTAGCTTCCTCAATTCTTTCGTTTATGAAACCATGACTTAAACCATCCCTAATTCCAATAAACTGTTAACATAAATAAAATGTTTCCAACTCCAGTAAATAATTGTTTAAGGAAAGCAGTTGTGAAGTTTTCGGTTTTCTACTCCATACTATTTACTAACAACTGCTAATATTTTTAACATTGCAATTCATAATTCATCTTGAAAGTAAACAGTTACGTTTCAACGAGCACACAGAAGCGTGAGGTGTGAGGAGAAAGGCTGAAGCTGGAGTGCATGAAATCTGTGCAAGCAACAATATATCTGAGTGCAAGCATACAGTTTGAGCAGAAGCAAAGCAAATCCAAGAGCAAGCAGGGGCTGTTTGAGTGCGAGGACAGGGATTTGAGGGAAAGCATTACAAAATCTGAATGGGAAATCAATAAGTCATTGAAAGACCACGCTCTTGAATAGAGATAGGAAATAAGGGCCACACTTTTCAATTCCAGTATCTGTGTGAGTCACCTCAGTACATAAACATTACAAAAACAAAACACTAATCCTTCTGCAGCGCATTACAAGTGCTGAAATCTACAATAGTATGGGTTTCACCTAGTGGCTCTGAGACAGGGGACTTCCTGAATGCCTATGGTATGTTACCGAGTCTGACCCAAATACTTCAAAGCTTCTACCGTTGCCACAATAATCGTCATCTAAATCAGTATTCTAACGTTTCTTTTTATTATTATTATTTTATTATATACTGCATGCATGTATGCATCACCACGAAAAATCCCCCTAAAAACATTTAATAAGGAATGCTAATTCCACATTATTCCTTATGCATCAACATGTATGTTTAGGAATTATTATGAGCAATTTTCAGACAGATAGCACTGGTTGTTGTTGAGTGCTGTCCAGGGTGCTGAAACGCAGCGGAGAAGATCGATAGACAGTCTCAACAAAGCCATGTTTTTTATTTTAGGTGTTTGCATAGGCTACAATACATTTATTTATTCATTTGTCTATAGGTCACGCAAATTAGTTTTTGTGGCCTTTTGCTGTAATATATTCGAGGTGATTATTACACATTTTATAGCCGTTTTCATTTCAACAGCTTGTGTTCTCATTGTCAGCTCCCCTCCCATTACCGTTTTAATGCACAGGCTTACGGGGGCTCGTGCCCGATGCCTCCACTGATAAAGACACAACGGTAGCAGGGCATTTTACTCCCACGCAAACCTTTTATCAGCTCTGTGTCTGACTGAGTTCTGTTTCTCCGAGGGTGAGAGGCGATTGACGCTCTTAAACGAAAAGAGTTGTGTGTGTAATGGCGCATGTGTGTGAGAGGGATTGATACAATTAGCCTACAGTGAGCCAGCCTGTTTCTTTTGGTGACGCAATTTCTGTAACTTATAGCCTATAGTCAGAGATGGGCAGTATTTCTATTACTTGTATTTCAAATACGTATTTCAATTACTTTTGAGTATTTTGTAATTTGTATTTAATCGGGCCGATAAAAATCGAATGTAATTTGTAACAAAATACTTTAGAGTGGAGTAATTTTGTATTTAAAATACTCAAAATACTTTCTCCACGAATCAAAAAACAGTTCACGAGTTCAGTCATCAGATCTTCAAATTCAACGGATTGTCTGATTGTCTGAGTGTGACAGATGTCAACTAGCTTGATGTATAATTTATGTCTGGGTCTGGCTACATAGCCTATTGTATATACATGGTGATGGTTATAATATCAAGCTAGTGATCAATACTAACATGCTAATGACGCTAGCATGCTCTCTAGGCTAGTGCATAGCCAGTGTTTAGCAAGTTAACTTATCAGTCGAGTAGCTAGCTATAGGAAGAGGGAGATTGGGAGCTTGTATATTCATGATAACCTTATCAAGAGACGTCTGACCATCTAATCTTGCACTGTATTACAAGTTATAACCTGGAGGACACCAGAAAAGACCTGCTTTCTCTTCAGCAGTACCCACTTATCAAGCTCCTTTTTGTTCGATTTAACACAACCCTCCCCTCTTCAGCTCCGGTTGAGAGACTGTTCTCGTTTGCAGGAATAATATTCCATCCGCACAGGAGACGGTTAACACCAGAAATATTTGAAAAGTTAGTTGTTCTTAAAGGCAACTAAACTGGCTACTCAGTGGTTGGGTCTCAAGAACCAAAATGGAAGGATTATTATGTCATAAAGATGTCAGTGTGAACCTGTATGAGACACTTAACTGTAATATAGAACTATGTGGCCTACCATGCCACTGGCCAATGTAAGAGAGAAATGAGTAGGCTACCATGCCACTGGCCAAGGTACAGTAAAAGAGAAGTAAGTAGGCTACTCACTTGTTAAGTTACCTGTTCACTTTTGTATTGATTTACTATTTACCTTTTATTTTTATTAATTATTCTGTGCAGAACTTGATGTACAGTAATTTGTTTAGGCTCTTTACCTGTGTACAACTGGTTTTAATTCTATATTTTGCTTTTATAGTATACATAGGCCTATTGTG